TTGGTTGGTATTCCTTTATACATATTTAGACTCTGGCTTTGATTTTGGATTTTGTTTATTTAGAATCGTGAATTGGTTTTCGTTGTTTTAGGTTGTTTAACAATTGTCTTGAATTGGTTTTGTTGGTTTGATTTTAAAAAATATATAAAAGGAATATTTATTTCTTTTAGATATTTTGGATTTGCTTTTAAAAAAAATATTTGAAAGGAAATTTAATTCCTTTTAGGTATTTTAACGTTTTTTTATAAATAGGTTTTTTGTTACTTCATAATGCCTGGCAAATGTAAGTCCAGTCTTTCAAGAGTATCTTCTCAAAGACAAGCGAAAAGATTAGCTCGATCGCTAGAATCTTTAGATGATGCTGAACTGAGAAGGCAAGAACAAGCAGAGCGTCAGGCTGCTTTTAGAGCATCTGAGACACCTTCTCAAGGTCAGCGAAGGCGTCTTGAACAGGCAGAGCGTCAAGCAACTTTAAGAGCTACTGAAACACCTGCCCAAAGTCAGCAAAGGCGTCTTGAACAGGCAGAGCGTCAAGCTACTTTAAGAGCTACTGAAACACCTGATCAAAGTCAGCAAAGGCGTCTTGAACAGGCAGAGCGTCAATCTATTTTAAGAGCTACTGAAACAGCTGCTCAAAGTCAGCAAAGGCTATTCGAACAAGCGAAACGTCAGGCCGCCTTAAGAGCCTCGGAAACACCTGATGAAACAACACAGAATCATTGAGCAAGCTGAACGTCAATCTACTATAAGGGCATCTGAAACACCAGAACAGAGACAGGCGCGAAGAGATGCAAATGCACAGCTCCTAGCTGAACGTCGACAAAATTTTCAAAGAAACAATTGGTCGGTTTTTAATGACGCAGCATTCAATTATGATCCGTTGAGTGATTATAAAAATCACAGGTTAGTTGTCTGATGGACAAGGCGTGTCGATTTTGCAGCGCTTTAAAATGGAAAGATGAGACCGCAGGCATGTGCTGTTCCAATGGCAAAGTGTCTCTTCCGTTATTTGGGGAACCAGGAGATCCTTTGAAAACTCTCTTTTTATATGATGCTAATGAGTCACAACGCTTTTTAAACAGGATCCGGAAATATAACTCATGCTTTCAAATGGCGTCCTTCGGAGTTGACCGGGAAATATTAAGGCCGGGATTTTCGGCTACATTTACGGTGCAAGGGCAAATTTATCATAGATTAGGTTCACTTTTTCTAGCTGAAAACGAACAGCATAAATTTTTACAAGTATATTTTATGGGCGACGAAGAAATTGAGGTAGACCGTCACTACCAATTTATCCAGGGAGAGACACAGTGTTCAAAATTCAAAGATTCTTGCATGAACGTAACATTTTAGTCAAAACATTTAAAACTGCTTTAGAAAACCTACCTGAAGAGGACTATAAAGTCGTCATTCACGCAGATCGGACCCCTCGAGGAGAGCATGAAAGGCGCTACAATGCACCTTTGATAAACGAAATAGCAGCCGTAATTAGTGGTGATCAATTTTCTTCACGAGACATTGTCTTGCGAGCACGTGATGATACGTTGCAACGGGTAGCCGATACACACAAGTTTTATGACGCTCTACAATACCCATTGATTTATTGCAAAGGACAAGAGGGTTATCATTTTCAAGTTCCACTCATTAACCCGATCACAAAGGAGCCTACTTCGAACAAAAAAGTGTCATGTATGGATTTTTATGCGTATCATATGATGTTGCAAGAAAATTATTTTAATCTCTTAGCCCGGTGTTGACAATTATTTCATCAATTTTTGGTAGACATGTATGTGAAGATAGAAAGTGAACGTCTCCGTTATATATCTTTAAATCAAAAAAAGCTACGCGTTGAGAAATATATACATTTACAAGATGCAGTTTCTAGCGACGCCAATGTAAACCCCAGAGATTTAGGTAAAATGGTAATTCTGTCCTCATCATTCGTTACCTACATGAGTATACACAAGACGCATTCGCCTATCTACGAACTTACGAAAGACCTGATCTTTTTGTTACTTTTACTTGCAATCTCACATGGAAAGAAATAACCGAGGAGCTAATTCCGGGCCAAAAAAGTACTGATAGACACGATTTAGTTGCTAGAGTATTTAGATTAAAGTACAAAAATTAATTAAACCTTGATCTTTTAGTTACTAAAATTAAACCTTAAGATATTAAAATTATAAAATAATTATAGTGTATTTTTATACATAGATATTAAACATTTTATTTCCAAAAAAACTCGTCCCTTCAAATCTACCTACTTTTATTTATTATATTCATACTTACCTTAGTATGTTTTAACTATTAGTTATTACACGTTTCATTTTTTACTAATCTCATTTGTTGTGAACAATGAGATGCAATATGAAAACATTTTTATTTTAGTAACAAACATACAAAAATATAAGTAATTCCATTTTTTATAATATTAAACAGATAAACGCAAGCTAATATACAACTTTCTTGAATCAAAGAAAGTCACGTCAAGGTCAGTATGTGTTAGTGATTTTCGTACATTCAAATCAAAACAAAGTAATGGATGCACTGTTTAAAGACAGAAAAGAGCCTCCCTTATAATACACTCTTTCGTAATATATTACACCTAGATATGACCGTACAAAGTATCTGAATTATTTTTTCATGTCTGTTACGTAATTGGAAAACAAGAAATATATTTTTACAGCATCTGCATCAATATTTTACGTGGCACGAATGTTTCAGCTTGACTGGGAAAGAAATAATACTGCTCTGTTTCAGATAGTGAGTGGAGAGAACCGGACACCCATTTTATTGGAAACGAGACATTTCATCGTAGTACTCAGAAATGACAACGCATCTGCATTTTGATTCATAATCAATGATAGATGTAGACGTCTATGTGCTAAAACATTAGATGAACTATGTACTCGTTTATACCCTTATTATAAAAAAATTACAAAAATATGACAAAAATTAATATTAAACAAAGGAAAAATTTTCGGAGAGGTGCAGTGCTTCATGTATTCAATTGAATGGCAAAAAAGAGGATTACCGCATGCCCACATTCTAATATGACTTAAATAGAAGTTGCGGCCCAACCAAATAGACGACATAATAAGCGCCGAGATTCCGGATCCTGAGCAGGATAAAGAATTGTATGATACCATCGTCCGAAATATGATTCACGGTCCATGTGGAGCACGACATTCAATATCACCATGTATGAAAGAAGGAAAATGTACAAAGAAATTCCCTAAACAGCTATTAAAAGAAACAGTGCACAATGACAATGGCTACCCTTTATACAGACGCAGAGCTCCCGAATATGGTGGCAGGAAAGTTACAATCAAATCTCGCTCTGGAGCGTTCGAAACCTTAGATAACAGCTGGATTGTCCCGTATTCGCCCATTCTATGTAAAATGTTTAATGCCCACATTAATGTAGAAGCATGTAGCTCTGTCCGCGCAATCAAGTATATCTATAAGTACATAAATGAAGGAAGCGACTAAGCAATATTTAATCTCAGGAGTGAAGGTGAGGCAAATCCCGTTAATGAAGTACAGGCCTTTCAAGCAGGGCGTTATGTCAGCAGTAACGAGGCAGCGTGGCATCTCCTTGGCTTCCCTTTACACGAAAGGTACCCAACAGTTACTCACCTTGCTGTGCACTTAGAAAATGGAGAGTGTGTATATTTCACCGAAAGAAATTTCCAAGAAAGAATTGCATCACGGCCAAAAACTACACTAACAGCCTTCTTTCAGCTTTGTCGAACCGACCCCTTTGCAAAAACGTTGTCATATTCTAAAGTCCCCGCTATTACACTTGGAACACATCTAGGAAGGAGTGGAAACGCCGTATTCAAGGCGCGCCTGTTGCAAATTGGCCCGGTGTAAAGTCATCAGATGCCCTTGGTCGTGTGTATACCGTATGTTAATTTTGGATGCTGCGATATCATCTTGCGGGCTATCTAATGCACATGAATTGTGGGACAAATATAAAGAGTATATGGCGGAAGATATTTTGCGAAGGTTACAGTAGACACACGCGAACATGACATACAATGAACACATTTATAATGAAGCACTTGAAAACATTGAAGATAAAGTAATGGCAATGGTAGGCAAAAAATTAAGCGACTTTGGAATGATAAGCCCTCAGCGAACAACCGAAAATGAACTAAGTGATGAAATTATACGTGAAACAAACTACGATATACCAGCTTTACAGCAGCAAGTAGCCGAATTTGTACCCCGCTTGCTTCCCGAACAAAAACGAGTTTTTGACAAAGTATTAGGACAAATTGAATCTGGAAATGGTGCACTTTTCTTTTTTAGATGCTCCTGGAGGAACTGGGAAGACATTTTTATTAAATTTATTATTAGCGCAAGTACGGAAAGATAAAAATATTGCTGTGTCCGTAGCTTCCTCCGGTATAGCCGCCACGCTGCTAAGCGGGGGCCGCACTGCACATTCTGTTTTAAAACTCCCTCTAAATCTAGCCCAGGAAGAATCACCGATCTGCAACTTTAGCAAAAATAGTGCACGAGGTATAATTCTACGACAATGCAAACTTTTAATGGGGGACGAAAGTACAATGTTGCATAAAAAAGCTGTAGAAGCACTAAATCGAACGCTCCAGGATTTGCGCAGCAATACCGATGTAATGGGAGGAATGGTGGTTTTACTGGCTGGTGACTTTCGCCAAATTTTACCTGTCATTCAAAAGGGCACACCTTTGTGTGGGTTTTTATTTTTGGGTGGGGCAGATGAAATTAAAGCATGCCTCAAGTCGTCTATTTTATGGAACAAGGTGACAAAATTCAATTTAACGAATATGAGAGTACATTTGTATAATGATATCAATGCTGGAAACTATGCTGACACACTATTAAAAATTGACGATGGACGGTTGAGAACGGATGCTGAGGGCTGCGTTAAATTGACGTAAGATTTTTGTAATTTAGTACAGAGTCATTCCGAATAAATTGCGAGCGTTTATTCAGATTTAACGAACAACATGCATGAAGACAAATGGTTATGTGAAAGGGCGATTCTTGCACCAAAAAGTGAGAGCGTTAACAAAATAAATTCAGATATATTAAGCGAAGTAGCAGGAGAAATAACAGAGTATTTGTCAGTAGACACAGTTATGGACACAGAACAGAGCACTTCATATCCCGTAGAGTTTCTAAATTCTCTAGAGTTGTCAGGTGTGCCCTCACATAAGCTTCAATTAAAATTAGGCGTCCCAGTCATGCTAATGCGAAATTTAGATGCTCCTCGGGTATGTAACGGGACAAGGCTGCGTGTGACACATCTTGGACGAAACGTAATCGGTGCTACAATTTTGACAGACGTAGGAAAAGGTGAAAATGTTATTATGCCACGGATTTCTATAATTCCCACAGATCTTCCTTTTCAATTCAAAAGTTTGCAGTTTCCTATTAAGCTCAGTTTTGCAATGACAATTAATAAAGCGCAAGGGCAAACGTTACAGGTAGCGGGGGTCAACTTAGAAAAACCGTGCTTCTCTCATGGTCAGCTGTATGTAGCATGTTCGCGTGTGTTAAATGCCCAGAATCTCCACATTCTTTCCCCGAATGGAAAAACATATAACATTGTGTACAGTAGCGTCTTAAAATAGTGTTCAGTTAGCTTTTTTTCCAAAATTCCCACAATCAATTAATCAGAATTCCCACAGATCTTCCCTTTCAATTCAAAATGTCCTATTTAGCTCAGTTTCTTTTCAATTCCAAATGCTGCACCTCTGACGGACCTATTAAGCGCAGTTTCCTTTCAACTCAAAAGGCTGCATTAGATCTTTTTTTGGCTCAGTTTCCTTTCAATTCAGAAAACTGCATCTTAAATCAATTTCTAGTTTTTTTCTCTCAGTTCTTTATTAGAAAAATATCCCATTTCCATTTGGAATAAACAGGCTTTTTCATGCTTTCTTATTTAACATTACAATTTGTTCTTTGGCTGCATCTCTGACAAATCTATAAAACTCAGTTTTCTTTCAATTCAAAAAGCAATGGATAGTTCATTTCCCAGTTACCATGCGGGCGAAGCCGCGGGTAACAGCTAGTTATTTATATGGTAACCACAAAAATATCACATAAAATTTGATAAATTCTGTTTGTAATTTCATAACTGTATGGACTCAAAAGTGCGCTCGACTTACCCATTATCATTTTCAATTATTGGTAAATTTCAATAATTATTTTTGTCGTCAAATTCGCATTCAGGTATTTTTCTTGTCTTCCTAAAATAAAAATATACTATGTAATAACATGTAGGAATTTAGTCCATTTTTTCCATTAGTGTAATCCTCAAATGATTAGAGCATTGCGTTTAGCAACAGATGCATGTAATTAATAATTTTAGTCATTTTTTAAAAATTGATTTTAAATGTATTTATAACACATAAAAACAAATTAGAACGTGGAATGTGATGATAGGATATCGAACATTAATAACTTGTTTTTATATGTACAAGTTTATTTATCATAACTAATGAGATAAAAGTGTCGAAAACGCACTTTCGCTAGTTTTTGGTCAGGGATACACCTTAAGTTGGAGGACTACCGTACGGCTTTAAAATTGATGACACAAAATTGCTATATTGCGAGTGGACAATCTCAGGGTCAGAGCGACGCATGTTGTTCGTTTTGTTAGTTGCAAGTTTGAATATTTTAATGTAAAAAAGGATATGATTAATAATGTTTATTGTACTGTAAGTGAGAATATTACCAGAAAAAATAAAAAAATATCATAATTTAACTATCCCAAGGAGTACAATAGGTAAGTAAATATTTGATTATTCCTTTTTCAAGTAAGTTAAGCAAACTGCTACTGCAGACAGGATAGTCTCCTCACGAGGGAACTCCTCAAGAGCTTTAATAAACTTTATGTTAGATTCAGAATTTACGACACCATTAAAAGAAACTACAAATTATTAAAAAAAGTATAAAAAGAAAATTATTAGAAAAATAAAAACTATTTAACGTTTTGTTTAATTTGTCTTTACTTTTGTGTTAACAACTATTATGACAACCCTTCCAAAATAGGTAACAATATTGCACGTTCTTAAAAAGCTTTGTCTCTGTTTCGTTTATCTACTTATGTGGTGAAGCTTCTAGCGTTTTTGCTGAATGCTATATATAATAAAAGCACAGTAATTGATCAAAACTCCTCTGTGCGATCAAACTGCAAAATAGTAGTTAAATTAACTGTGAATGATTAACAGAATGTACACAATGTATCCAAATGAATAATGATGAAAATGAGTGTTGTTTCAATGTAATCATAATCTATAAAATTATTATTTCTCGTTTAATTTTTACATTAAGACTCTAAACATCTACAATAATTTAACATAAATGGCTATAACGAACCTGTGAAGCATAATTAATGATCAAACGATCTTACCAAGTGAAATTCAATCTTAGTTATGCGAACAGCCTCATTCTAGCGATTTAGGAGAGCCTTACCTTATTTTTTTAATACCGTGTTTTCTCTATCGATTAACAGAAACCCTCCCCAGAGTTTGTAAAAATAAAACTTAAGTCTTGTATTTTCCTAAAATGATAAGATAAACACGTGTTCCGATCCGCAGTATTGTATTTCTTTAAACTAATGAAGCGAGTATCGCGGGATATGCAGGAGCAAGCGGCGAGTGTCAGTGTTGCCATGAAATTATTTTTTTCTACCATTAAATACCGGGCTAGGCTGGAATCTTGGAAGTGGAGCTACAATAAGTTTACATAAATCGCTAGAATGAAGCTGTTCGCATAATTAGGAACGAACTTCACTTGATAAGTTCATTTGATCATTAATTATACTTAAGGACGTCAAATTTTTTCAGAAAGTTTTTTTCATAGCCTTAATTTGATATCAGATAATTTAAATTAAAAAAAACAATACGTATATTTTTAAACGATAAATGGTAAAATTAAAAAAATATATATTTCAACCGGCTTTAATATAAATAAAATGAGAACATCATCAATGTAGTCGAAGTAAATTAAATACTCATTATTAAATATTACTCAAAAACAACTAAGATCTGACATCTTTATCAAATTTATATGGGACCATATGAGAAGTAGCAGCTTTCAAATAACAAACGTAAAAAATAAAAATGCAGTTGAATTGAGAACCTCCTCCTTTTTTGAAGTCTATTGAAAAATATAATCCATTCGTTGTTATATAAAACAAATTTTCAAAGCTGAAAACGCTTAAGCTAAGTATGGGCACAATAATTGCAGCTATAAATATAACGGTTCCTCAATTAATAAATAATATTTGTTATTTATCCAATTACCGTTTAGTGGCAGTATAAGCATATTTACCCTATATACTCTCGTTGTTGTCGCAAAAGGCAACAGTCGGCAAAAAACAAAGGAGATAGCGGCAGCGTATTTCTAATAATAAACTAAAAAATTAAAACTTGCAATTAAAAGAACCCGCCTGCCAAGCATAGCAACTATGGCAAATATGTCTAGATAACCCAAAATCATGCTTACCAATGTCTCACGGAAGAGATTTCGAAACCATCAAGTTTTTTGGCTTTTCGTGTAGTTGACCATTACGCCGCCCATGGGGCAAAATGCTGATGGATTCTCATAGGCTGTCATCACGCTGCCGGTTGATCAAGTAACTTATATGATTGGTTTAAAAAAAACAGACCGGCAACGAAGCAGTATCAAAGAAGCGAGAAAGCTGTGTACCTTGGCGTACCGCATCTGATAATATGAAAGATAAACCGCATGAGAAGCTTGGCGACTGCGGTAACTCTTTTCTGCAATAGTCCTACTATATATCTCAATAGTTTCTTGATAAGTAAGTGAATAAAGCCGCCCATGAACAACTGAAACACCAAAAGAAGAAAATATCGTAAAATCGCACAATGGTGGGACACCATAAGCATGATGTTATGAATAGTAAAGAGAATTTTCAGAAAAGAACTGTTCGTGTAGTACATCATATTATAATACCAGGGGACTCACTCAGAGATCTTTTAAAACTGATGAATATATTTACTGTTTTGTCACAGTTCATTTTTGACAATATTATAAACCTATCTATCTATCCATTACAGCCTATAGAAGTCCACTGCTGAATAAAGGCCTCTTTCATAAATTACCGCAGATTTTTTTTCGTTTCGAATTATTTAACTGCTGAACATACGCCTCCACCAAGGAATGCCACAAAGCACGGTCTTGGGCCACCCGCATCCATCAACTTCTGCATGTCTTACCAGGTCGTTACTCCATCTAGTGGGGGGGCCGCCCTACCCTTCGTCTACCGTTACGAGGATCCCACTTGAAAACGTTCCATACCAATTGGTTATCATTGTTTATGCTATGTAGCGAACCCATTGCCACTCCATTTTATAATCCGTTGGGCTATGCCGGTTACTCTGGTTCTTCTGCGGATTTCCTCATTTTCAATTCTATCACGCAGAGAAACCCTGAACATTGCCTCCTCAATAGCTCGTCGAGTGACCTTGAACTTCCTTATATGGCCTAACCTATTTTATTGTTTAATTATTTTCTGCAATGAATTATAAAATGTCATCTACAAAACTAGCCGGAGGCTATACATTATCTGTTTTATTCCGCTCATAATCTAAGTACCTACCACGTTATTTGCATCATGTGGCCGCAACAACCTACTGTCCGTCAAGTTAAATAAATTACCGTAGTACTCGTAAAAGCACGAAATCTGCCCACAAACTGCCACAACCCACAATGCCAAATGCGTATGGCAAGTTCAAACTCGAAGTTACCAAGTTATAAGTCTCCTTCGGAATTCATATGAACACACAGTTTATTTAGTGGTGTCAGATAATATTCGAATGCTTTTTTTGTTTATAACATAGCCTATTCAATCGATTTTCTAAACATATTTCTTTTATTCAATATTATTCTCTACATATTCGCCTCAATGTTTCAATACTATGATTTTTTCGATAATGAAAGCTATTTTATTTATAAAAAAGCCTTCATTATCCATTGTCATAGACAAAATTCAAAATATATTTGAAAACGTTTGGTTTTTGCTATAGCAATGTTTCAATATTATGATTTTTTGACAATGAAAGCTATTGTATTATAAAAATAGCCTTCATTACCTATTGCCATTGACAAAATACAAAAAAAAATTAAAAACGTTTCATTTTTGCTATAGAAAAAACATTAGCTTTTGTTTTTCAATTATAAAAAAAAATGTTTTTATTGTTTCATGTATTTCAGAAATATAAACTATCTACACTATTTATTTATGGTTATAATCTACATACATCTCCTTTGACTAATGAGATTAGCTGATGTTGTTACGAGCTTGGGGTTCGAGACAATTAAAAACTGCTGAGTGAATTACCAAAAATGATACTTTAGTAATAACAGAACACTAATTACAACTTAAAACCACACTAATAAAAACAATTGTACTTGTTTGTAATTTATCACTTCAGTACGCAGTCGCCAATTCAATTCTGATAGGGTCGCTGTTCATACCGGTTTTATATAGGGCCTCAGATAGTTCCAGAACCTTCTACTGTAGAAAGATAGAATATTCGAGTACATACCTGTCCCAACTGACTAGGTGTCGATAGTTCTAAAAATTTTTTTCATGAAAATTTCTGGAAGGATTTTTATTCCCCTAGGTCTGCTACTCGATACTAGAAGGCGCTAGTGGTAACTAGTGTCGCCATGTACCTACCAGGAATCAATTGTGACGCGTAACAGTATGTTCTCTTACGCTGCCTCTACACGGCGACAAATAATTATATAAATAATATAATACTATAATTAAATTATAACATAAATGTTTAAAGATAAGTAACATTTCTCAGTAACGACTCTACATTATAAAACATTCATAGAACACATTAAGCAGCTGGAAGTGCATACAAGATAACAACAAAATAGATGAAGTATGTATATATAAACCAATAGCAGGGTAGCTTGGCCGTACACGCAATGGACAGAATCACGACATCGATGAAAACTCCGGCGATTGACATCACGATGTCAAATTTTACCCGGAGTACCTTTATGGAGTAAGCTTCAGCTTTTTAATTATTATTAATTATTCAATTATTGGGGTCGATTTACGCAGAATGCACTTACTGTGTCATGAATTCTTGCAGTAGTACGCTTATGTTTAGTTTTAACATAACATAACATAAACACTCACGCCTGTCACTTAGAGGGGTAGGCAGAGACTACAGACGTTAAAGTAGGAACTAAAACAGCATTGTGAATTGTCATATATGCCTTTTTTGACACATTCTGACTTTTCACAATAGAGTGTAGAGCCCCATTTACTTTATTTCATGCATTCACTCGTCGATATATATCCTTATCATATCTCCCATCTCTGCTGAATACACGTCCCAAATATACAAACTCATCTACTTGCTTGACCATTTCCCTTCTATTCTTATTTCACATATCGTTTTACTTTCTTCTCTTTCAAAAACCATAACTTTGGTCTTACTTGCATTCACTTTCATTCCCCTTTCTTTTAATGACCTGTTCATTAATGTAACCATCATTTGCAACTCGGCCGCCGACGACGCAAGTATGACTTGATCGTAAAAAAGGGTAAAAAAGTCATTTGACGGTTAATTCACCCATTTTTAACCCGCATTCTTTGACTTTCAAATTTTCCAAACAACTGTCCATAAATAGGTTGAATAGCCACGGCGAAGCCACACAGCTTTGTCTGTCACCTTTATGGATGCCAAATGAGTCCGAGTAGGCCCCGTTGATCCTAACACAAGCACTCGAGTCCCTATACAGAGACTTTAATGCCTGTATCAACCCAGCGCTCAACCTAAATGAGTTCAGCGTTTGCCATAATACATCCCTGTCCACTCTATCATAAGCCTATTCCAAGTCCATGAACGCACAAAAAACTTTTTGGTTTTTGCCGAAAAATTCACCGCACACAGCGACACCCCATTCCCTTTCTAAATCCCGCTTGCATATCCCAGTTTCTTTCATAACTCTTTCTATTAGTACCTTAGCATACAGTTTTCCCACAATGCTAAGAAGGCAGATATCGCGGTAGTTTTTACAGTCCTGCTGCGACCCTTTTCCCTTATATATTGGGACTATCACGGCTTTGCACCAGTCTCCCGGTACCCGCTTCTGTTCCCAACATAAATTAAACAAGATGAATATCAGGCCTGCCACCACTTCCTCTCTAGTCCTAGCATTTCGAGTAAAACTCTATAATATCCGTTTAGTTTTAATTTTATTAATTACGGGATCCCAAGCAGGTGGCAGTACCAAGCCTACTTCTCTATTGAAATTAGGATTTTATTAAATTTTAATAGCCTCATATAACATATTTGGTTAGAATCGATGTTCTTTCGCAAGAATTCCCTATATAAGGAAGACCACATTCACCATCAAGCTAGTATACTCCTGCATCTTGCAGAGGGGTATTACACTTGACGGATGGTAAGAACTGAATAATCTTCTTTGTTGGCTTGTAGAATGTTCTAATAGAAAAGAGCTGTAGGTAAAAAGACCCATACTAACCGAATTTAAAGGGTGAATGTCACCACTATCCTTCACGATTGGCTACCATGGACAAATCTTTGTTACAGAGAGCACGTTTTTAATAGAAAACACCTGACCGTCTAGCTTCAGCACGTAAAAGAGGTTTTGTACGACAACAAGCTTCGGGTCCCGCGCCTACGTCACAGTGACCGAGTGTATCCGGCCACGGTTGAGCGTGTGCCTGATGTCATCAGATGAGAAGTTATCCTCCTGAGAATTAACATCCTACTAATAGTATTATAAAATGCACTCAAATCACTCGCAAGATTTTATTATTAAAAGTTATTGTAACATATCTATGATAGATGGATATAATGTGTCGCGGACTTTATTAAACTTATAAGTCTTTCTATTTTAGTGAACACTACGTGCGTCAAGTATTAAGAAAGATTATAAAGACTTTAAGGGCCTATACTACCTCAGTATATATGCTATGTACCGACATGTTTGTAATCACTAATACTGTAAGTAGATAGGTCGTTAGACGCTTATTTCATTAGGTTTATCATACGTTTATCAGTATTATTATATTATATGTTATTTCCCATTTTAATTTTACGTCGTCCTGTTGCGTAATGTGTATTTTGATCGTAAGCGACAACGCTTTCCCGTTCGAAAGTCGAAGCGAGACTGAGCGGGGGTATCCGGCGACAGGGAACAAGCTTGAGGACGCCGATAGCTTAGGTAATTTATTTTTACAGTAAAAATAATGTTAATTAAAAAAATAAAAAACATAGGTCCTGCTTTATAGTTAGTTCAGTTAGTGTGCAAAGTTTCATGATCTAATTTAAAGTATTTTGGGAATACCAGCGGTTTATTGTTTGGTTTGGAGGTAACCTTGGAATTTTTTTCTATCCAGAAAATTTTACGAAATCTTATTCTCGTGTAACAGTACTTAAAATTAATCCTCAACTTTACCATATATTTACTTCAAAATTAACGTTGCAATATTTTCGGCATGACGGAGGGACTTGTTAAGGCATTTTAGGTAGTAGGTATAGGCCCTTAATTTGGGTTAGACCCAAACCGTTTTTATAAAAGATATAGCCTATAATAAGTCCTATTCTAGTTTATAATTTATAATAATGTCAAGTTTCATCAAAATCTATATAGTAGTTTTTGCGTGATTGAGCTACAAACATAAAACATCAAAACAAACTTTAACATTTATATGAATAATTGTGTGTATGTTTTAGTAAACCATGTAGTTACGGTGTAAGAATGTCCTACTACCCCATAATCCCGTGACATCCCGTTAAATTCGGTTAGTACCGGCATATTGAGTGTAAGTTACAAAAGTCAGTCAAGAGCACATTGACTGTAAGTTACAGAAGCTACTTCACATCAGATTGACGTAAGTTCAAGTGTAAGTTCATTTGTTACACCAGTTCTACAAAGTTACGTCCATAGTCTCAGATGACACGAATAACACCACGTTTTTATTTTATAAAAGAGGGGCAAACGAGCATACGGCTCATCTGATGTTAAGTGACTACCGCAGCCCATGAACAACCGCAACACCAGGGGAATTGCAGGTACGTTGCCGGCCCTTTAGAAAGGAGTAAGCTCTTTTCTTGAAGATTTAAGTTTCTAACTGTTAATTGTTGATTTAAATTTCTAGCAAATTATTTTATTAATAATACCCGCTGCGAACTATAAACATAATTTGTATAACGAAAAATGAACTTCAACAGTTTTATAAGAATTACTAAAAAACGAAATTCAATATCAATGCCTTTATTTCATAAAAAATACAATAACAAATTAAATAATTCAAACATTTGATGCGATTGACAGCATACTCAATATCTTCTGTTTGATGTTCCCGTAACTTTGTTACTAAACGCCGCCAAACTGTAACAAAAATAAAACAAATATAAGATTTTAAAAAATATTACATTTAACACAATTATTTATAGTTTACTATTCTTCAGCCATTCCATAAGTCCATTGCTCAACAAGGGTGTCTCTCATAAAATGAAGCACCTGCTGTAATCAGCACACTTAGCCGCCTCGCACCTCTGAAACTGTTATGACTTCCACTACGTTAGTAGCGTTTGAACATCAAATGACCTCTGATAGACACATATCACAAGGGAGCATTGTCAAAGGTGTCTGACTATGACAATTCGCCTGTCGTGATAACCAGATATTAATCTGGTTTTGAGAGACGTTTAGTATTGGACTATTAACTAACGATAATGATAAAGACTGCCTCATTCGTGTGGTAGTCATAGTCGAATCCCGGGTCGCAAAAAAAAGTTGGGTTTTTCTGTTAACTCCATAGCGGTCTCGTGTGACAGCGGCCATATTCTGTCAGATCCCTAGCGGTCTCATGAGATCGCACGCACCCACAGCACTTTAACTCATAAAAACTTATATATAGAGACTACTTTTCTATGAAGAAGTTTGGCATGATATGATCAATATGAAATATTCTATCCTCTAGTGCAATAAAAAAACTGTTATCCTATGGAGTTTTGGCGGGAACTTGGCCGTGGACGGATTGTCGCTCCTGTTTTGTCGCTTGAATAATAGTTTGAAGTGGATTTTGATTCGTAAAAGTGAAGCGATTTTTTGAATTAACTGTCCGTGCGTGTGAAATATTAGAGAAAACGACGAAACAAGTGCTTTGATGTCGATATAAACCTCAAGTTATTTTGATCGCTTGGGCGCCTTATGAACTTGAGTGGCTGTCGTCATCAACTGTCCGCTAGGTTGAGCTGTCGTCAAAATCTCCCAAAGGTTTCGCAATGTGACGCATCAGCATATTGTGAACAAAAAGAATATAAAATGAAGATTCCAAAAGAAAGGATAGGCTCAGAAGGTCTAGAAACCAGAGCCGTAAAGCCAGTTAATAGAAAAAATGTTATCCTATGAATATTTATTTATAATCTACGTTCATTTCGTAAGCTATTTTCGCGTGTATGTTATTGTGTAGATTTTTGGATATTTTTAGTGTTTTAGTATAGTTTTATTATAAAATTGCGGTGAAAGTGCTCATGTGAATATATTTTATCTTCTTATGTGAATAATTTCGAGTAATATATATTGAAATAATTGTGATTTTCACGCTGCCGACATTCGCTTGGTATATTTTTTTTTTGTTATCAAAATACAATAACATCTTTTTGTAATGAAGTAAAACCTGAATTTTGTTTAGACCACAGGATAGAAAATTTTGTATAGATTTTATAATGCTAAGCTTCTTCATATAAAAGTAGTCTCTAAATATGTGTTTTAATGGTTTTAAGTGCTGCGGGTGGGTGCGGTCGCATGCGACCGCTCGGGATTTGCTGCATGCGACTGCATGGGATTTTTATGACGCTTGAAGGGTTAAGAAATTCTTAACAGTAACCCGAAGTAAGGAAGATGGCGTAGTTTCAACCGTGTGCGTCGGAAAACATGTAAAGCTGTTGGTCCTCCGCTTGATCTTTCTCCGGTCGTGTCCGATTGTCGTGCCATCGAACCATGAGAGTGAGGGAATAGAGAATTGCACATACATTCCTTGCCTGAACACGCTCAGATTACACAATCATGTTATCAACTAATATTTTCAATAAAATAAAGAAAAATAATTTTTGGTAAGTGGATTTAAGAAAGCGAAAACTCTTTATATTTTAAATGTTTTACCTGATCTTTCAAAGGTTCAAAGCATTTAACCAGCAGTGCAGCTCTTTCACAGCCTTTATCGTCGGCAACTGACTGCTCGTTCACTGAAATATTAAATATTATTTTAAAAGTAAAGCCGGATAAACTAGTTTTTTTTAATAGCTGCAAACATATTGGGTAAAAGTATTATTGTGAAAACTAATATTAATTTTATTTTAAAAAACAACAAATTTTACTAATATTAAGTTAATTGTTTTTTTTTTAATGAAACAACATAATATGTAGTTTTATTTTAAAAAACAATTTTGCAGTAAAATTAAAACTCAAACTTTTTACCAATTTCATTAAATTGATGAACATACCTGAACCGCATTTATCAATCACTTCCATAATTTTATTTTGCGCTTCTTCGTCTACGATAAACTTCTTGGTCATTTCCGTAGCTTTTTCTGCGTCGAACTCTCCTTTGTCATTGATCTATAACATTTGAAATGAGTATCGTAATACCAAAAACCACATTATGCTGAGATAGGAGAATCTATTAACTTTCGTCCCGTGGATGCCGTAAGAGGTGACTACGTGTGATGATAGAAAGACTTATAGTTTCCAATAGATGCCATTAGGTACATGTTATTTCCACTACAACGGCTAAATGACCTAACAGTGAATTATAAAGGGTTGACGAAGACAAAAGGAAAAAAGCGGTTGAGTTTTTTATAATAAAGCATCCTACAGTCAGTAAAAAAACTTATAATTTGCATGTTCCTTCGTATTAATCGTCGTATTTAGGTTTTTTTTAAACGGAAACTTGGAAAAGACACTCAATTTTTTTATTGACATATCATCCAAATATAATAAGAAATTGCTGTTTACTTATTTTATTTAGTAACCCTTAATATTTCTTAATTAAAGGGTCACAAAAAATGTTACCTAGAAAATCTTAATACCGAAAAAGAGTATCTTCTCGTTACACATAAATTTATACCAAAATATTATTGAACCAATACTCAGGTTTTTTGATTTAAAATTTTTTCGGTTCTAAAGTTAAGTGTTTACCATTTGTGTTTTTGATACTCTGGCATTAAATTTACGATTTTCATGTATATTGCTTGCGTTATTTGCAAGTGTCTATTTTTAAAAGAAACTTACCAATTCAATTTTCTTCATAAAGCAAGCGAATAAGCAGGGGTCAAAAGAATCAATATTGCCGGATTCTTTCGCCTTTTTAATTTCTTCCTCACTCACACCATATTCTTTGCCGCAATCCATCACAAAAGGTCGCATTGCACTTTCTATTGTCGAGATCTCTTCTTTGGTAAAAGCCTAAACAGCAGTGTTAATACTTTAGTTATGTTTATATTCACCACCGAGCATGCGGTTAATAGATACTCAAGAGGATATTATCTATTGCTCTATTTTCTCGACAGTGACATTAGATTGGAATTTTAACGTGTAGTGGCGTAGTAAGAATATCTACTACCCCATATCATCCCGTGGGTGACGTAAGTGGCGACTGAAAGAAACAAATCAGGAGATGAGCAGCAGGGTCTTCCTAATAACGACTAGAAACAAAAAACTACGGATCCCAACCCACCTGCCAAGTGTGCAAATATGAACCCTATAAGGCAATCTATGGGAAGGTGTATGTACAAATGACTTTAATAGGCTGTAACGGTAAAGATAACGACATAAGAGTAAACGTTTTTACAATATAATATAATTTCTTACCCCCCCCCCCCCAGAGTCAGGTAGGTAGGCCTGGTTGGAAAGCATTTAAAGCCGTTGATTCTATCATCGGTCGTGAAAGTATCTTATCGGACTATCAACATAACATAACAATGAGACTGTAGCAGATATAGATAATTGGGGACCCATTTAATGCCAGCCACTCATGCAATATTACGAAATATTACAAAAAACCCCTGGGATGGCCTCACCATGCCGTTGGCGATCATAAGAGAGGGCCTGGTGGCAATTTACAAAGGAGTATATGGTCGCCACAGATCGATGAAAAGGTGCATCTCCCAAACATGCGAGGTTTGTACTGTAATCTCTAAGAAGTCGACTACCATCTTAAGAATAATCTGTACTTGATCTTCCTGATTAGATGTTCTCTTGATGTGGCGTGCCTTGGCATCCAAGATGCTTGGTAGAGCACCAGTTGGTCAATCATGAAGATGGTGATGAACAACTGGTAAATTCATGTTCAGTGCCCGTAACATTGGAACCAAGTCGTCTGAGGGTTGGTCAACACGTTCTTTGGTTATTTTAGTTTTTTTCTTAAAACAAGTTACCCCCACACTAGGATTATCTTCGGTATTGTTGATGCAGTTTACATACATAAATTGCACAAGCACAAACTTCCAAACCCAGAAGAATTACTTGTAGGCCATACAAATACTAGCCACGTGCGGGATTTGACACCTGTGGCACTCAATCCAATACAATCCAACCTCGGTACAATCCAACCTAGTAGTAAGTGGTCATATAACCTAGGTAGTGATCGCACTGTCTTAGTGCAGCAAAAGCGATATTGAGGATACATCATGCAAAGTAGAGCCATATTGCACCTTTTTGCGGTGAAGAGAGACACGCTTGTGTATTGTAGACATTCAATTTAACAAAATTGGCATCGCTCTATTCGGACTGCTTGCAGTGAGAAAATCACACGCTAAAATACAACTTCTCTTTCGGACTGGAATTAATATTGAGTGGCCCGAACATACAGCTGGTAACTCTCCAGCACCTCCGACATAGAAGTTACGCTGTGAGGTAATTGATAAATCAGCGGAAGGTCGAAGAAGTTGGCTACGTGGCTATCCACATCGATACCCTTGTCACTTGTTTAGACCTCATACTAGAAGAGATGCAGTGGAACGACAAATTGCCATTCCTGCCATACTTCTCCCCCAGCGTAGTTGGTCTTCTGGTACGTGAACAATCAATCCTAATGTAACTGAAATAGGGTACTGATTTAGGGCCATACCAGAGGTTTCACTGAAGCGTTTCAATAGCTTAGCCGTGCGATCAGTAAACATAAGAATATATTGATAAGAATATATAATATAAATGATTTTATTCATTCCCGTGTCTACAAATACGATACCAATATCGTGAAGAAATTGGGACCCTCAAGGTGACGTAGAGGCTAACAACAAATGTCATTGGGGGCGTTCACACAGACTTCGGCGAGCTGATGGAGTTATGGTAAAACACAAATTAGGTTTCCCATGTCTCCTTACACTGCACCTTTGCTCCGCTCTGTTACACAGAGCACAGACAAACAGAGGAAGTCCAGAGATTGACTCAATATTAAAACTCTTAATCTCATGACTGTTAACGCTTTGATAAAAAGTGACCCATAAAGAAACATTACATAAAGATTTAGAATTAGTTCATCTTAAGCATAAAAATCGTTCTCATATTACTTGCACTTACCCTAACATTTCTTAAGCTAGCAGCAATAAGACCAATGAAAAGAAAAACGTATTTTAACGACGACATTTTTATGTTTATAACATATATATTATTTTAAAGTAAACACAACCTACTTGTTCCTTGCTTTGCACTTGTCTGTCCTGTATTATTAATTACACATTTATATACGAAGCTCGACAAGTATTTTTTCCCTTCAAGTTAATTATCTCATCCGACACGTACAATGTTATCCTACATAATAAAAAACACGTAATTCCTATAATTTGCAACGCGCGTTTTGTTTTTGGATAGACAATAGCAAATGCATTAGTTTTTGTAAAACAAACATTATTAACAATTATTCTTAAGGACGTCAAAGTTTCTCAGACAGTTTTTTTAAAGCCTTATTTTGATTGTAGTAATTAAGATTTAAAAAATTATGTGTTTCTAAGATGAAAAATAGATTCCGTTCGTTGTTATACTAAGAAACTTCTAAAGCTAAAAAAGGGTAAGTATTTGATAGCATAATTATTTCAGGTCTAATTATAACGGTCCCTAAATTAGACGCGATTTCTGATCGTGTGGTCCCGGATTCGAATCCCAGGTGGAGCAAAAATCAGTTATTGGGTTTTTCTGTCAAGAAATTCTTAGTAGCAGCCCGAAGTCAGAAAGATGGCAGTTCATCATCATCATCATCAACCATCACAGCCCTTCACAAGTCCACTGCTGAACATAGACCTCCCCTAAAGAATGCCACATAACATGGTCCTGAGCCACCTACGTCCATCGACTTCCTGTATGTCTTACCAGGTTGTCACTTCATCTAGTGAAGGGACTCCCTTAGCTCCGTCTATCGACACTAAGCTGCCACTCGAGAACCTTTACTACGCATGGGTTGTTGGTTCTTCAAGCTATATGGCCGGCACATTGCCACTTCAGCTGACTAATCCGATGGGATATATCGGTTACTCTGGTTCTACTGCGGATATCCTCATTTTTAAGTCTATCACGCAGAGCATAAACCTCTCCATAACTTGCTGAGCAACCTTCAGTTTGCTCATACGGTAAGCAGTTAAGTACCACGTCTCAGATCGGTAAGTCATCACTAGCAACACTCACTGGTTGTACAATCTTGTTTTGAAGTATGTCTGACGAGCATATTTGTCATAATCTCCTGAACGTTGCCCAGCCGAGTTAAATCCGTCGATTGATCTTTCGGCCGAAGTTGAAGAACTCACCTAGTTTGACTAGATTATATTGTCCCAGGTAAACATGCTGGTCAACAAATTCAAGCGTAGTCCTCCCAAAAACTACCGGCATTGGCGTGTATGAACGTTGCTCACGACATTGCTTTATCCATACTCATGTTAAGACCTATCTGTTAGTAAACAGTATTCAAGTCATTGAGCTTAGTGTTTAAGTTGATTATGCCATTCTGCCATAAGGATAATATCGTCGGCAAATCGAAAGTCCAGTAGCTTGAAAACGTCTTTCAATGCAGATGTGAAAACTTTTAGGAATATAACCTCACCCTGTCTTACACTTCTCTGCAGTTGGATGGATTTCGTACTCTGATTCTGTACTTGGATAGCCATCGTAGGCCTACTGTACAAACACTTCAGCACTTCGATATAGCGACAGTCAACTTGGTACTGCTGATGGAACTGCAACACCAGCCAAATTTCCACGAAATCAAACGCTTTCTCATCGTTCACATACGCAGATATTACTCTTAGCTTTTAAATCGGAAACCAGCTTGTTTAGGAAGCTAGAAGTATTCGAGTCTGCCTGGAAGACGATTCGTACCGACTCTCGAACATAGCACGAAGGAGTTAGAGGGTCTGTCGAGAGAGCGCTGTTGCATTTCTTGAAGATAAGACTACTGCACTTCTGCTCCACGTCTCCGAAGTAGTGCCACCATGAAATATGGAATTAAAGCTTCTGAAGGACTTCAAGTACCGGCTTTCAACCCACTTTTAGAAGACCCGCTGTGATTCCACCCTTACCCGGGGCCTTGCCTTTTCAAGATTCTGGAGCGCCATTCTTATCTCGCTCAGACTGACCGTCGGAAATATCATCAAAATAGTGTCGAATAAGACTTGCTCATGGATCGTTACTCACACTTGCCAATGGTTTCAACGATGACTTGTTCAGCTGCCCATAGAACCTTCCAATCTCACTCAAAACCTCAGGCGTACTGGAAACTATGCTACTGCGGTTTTCTTTCTGTTTTCATTCTGTCTTCAGTTTCAACAGGTGCCTCTTTCTTGCAGACAGATCTCTGGCAAAGATTTCTGAGCCTTGATTCGCTTCTTCAATACGAGGTGTATTGAAGTTACGTAAGTCACGCCCCATGCGCTTGAAGATATGTCTGTCCAGTTGTTTGTATTATGTATATTCATATCTGCTGAAAACTACAGCTCCGACCGCATGGACTTTTTCCACGAGCTTGTTATTCATATCGTCCAGTGTATTGTAGTCTTCTAGGCACAGAAAGTTGTTTCATAACACGAGCTGAAACTTTTTGGGGCTTTTGCAGGAGGTATACGGAACATCGACTTCATTAGGCGTGACCTCTACAACTTATGTTTAGGTTCAGTGTGCCTCTCACCATTCGGTGTCCATCCCTACCAGTTTTCACTCTCGCGATCACTGAGACATCACTGAATATGAAGTATTTTATTTTTGTATCTTATATATTAATTTGATACTTTAACCCTCGTCTTCAAAACTTTTGTGTCTACGTGTAATAAATATAAATTTGTTGTTACAAAGTACAGGCCTCATAGGACTGGCATCTCACTTTTGGGTAGATGTATAAATAATTATCACAAAATTCCCCGTAATATCACTGATTTGCATTTGCATAAATTTGATGCTCATGATTCATAAGGAGGCAGATCCGAAACAAGCGCTTTGTGCCAAACCCGATCGAACCTAACCACGAAGGTGGTACATACCCAGACGCACTCCATTTGTACCTAGTATTCCGTCCGGGTAAGTTCTAGCCGCAAAAATTTATGAATATAATATATAATATTGTGTTATTATTTATTATTATTATTATATAATATAATAGTAATAAATAATAATAAGACAAAAGAAATGCATTAGCGATTACTTCCAAAACCGATGTCGTCACCTACAGCCGTATTATAAACATGCGCAATGCACAACGATATCTGTATTTTACAGTACATTGCTTGGCGAGTTTGTCAACGTCACGTGCATTGTGTATTACGGTAGAACAAAAGCAGCAATGGTAATTGTCAACACAAAAAGTAATAAATGAAAGTTTACAAAGGTAAATATCGTAGTAAAGTATTCATCGAGATGTAAATTAAAAGATGTAAGTTAAAACAATCATAATTAGTAAATAATCAGCTTACTTATAAAATGTTATGCCTTTACTAGTTGAATTACACATCATTGATGAGTTTTTACTACTTTTTTTACTATTATGCTATAGTTCACCATTATAATAACATATATTCACGTACGACGTTCCCCGCGCAACTAAATCACAAAATAGTGAATTATATTCGTCAACACATAATAGCGGCGACAAGGTCACGCATCTATGCGACTTCTATTTTCTTATTGTTACGATTTCTATGGTTCTAACTCTTCACCTATTTTTGAAATCGAATAGCAGTACTGTTGTGTTCTATCTTTCGTCTAAAATGTATAAATACACAGTAAAACTACTGGATGTGTGACATTCCACTTAGTCCTCAAAGCAACAACATCTTTGTAGCTTTCTGTGGTTTACTACTAGAGACCATGGACTAGTAGTAACTTCTTACCACCAGGTGGACAGTAAATTCGTTTGTAACTTGTTTTATTTTTACACAAAAGATTACAGGTTTATTTTGCATTAACAGTCCAAATTTGCAAAGAAGATTCAGAGTAAGTAATATAGGCAAATGGTGACGAAACTTGAATTTTAAAAAAACCAATCACTGTCCTTTTTATCTTTTAAATTAAAAATGTGTGGTAATGAATTATTTTAGCTGATTTTACTACTCACGCACATATTCGTAAGGACCGATTGATAGGCAAAAACATTGTGCCCATAAATGACATTCGATTTGAAATAATTTCAAATAAAAGTAGAGCTAAGCCTTATTTACTCGTATTTTCAAAAACTGCAATAACGGTATATCATTATTTATATATAAACTTTTTCTAATCTTTGAAAAATAGTCCTCTATAGTCTTTAACGGTTTCCATTCTTTTTGCCATTGAGAATTTATTTAAGTCAATGAATCAACGGCATCGTTTTTCCACTAAGAGCCACTAATCAACTCTCATCAAGACGAGTTTCTTCCAGAAAAATCAACGATATCTAATTATGAATGAATGAATGAATGAATGAATGAATATCCTTTTATTGTACACCACAAAACAAAATACAGAAAACATTAAATAAAAAATAAGTAAATAAAAAATAAGATAAGGGCGCCGTCAGTATAAGACGTGTTAAATTTACCTCTGTATATTTTATCGGTTAAAACTACTAAACGTGATTATATATGTATTATGTGTAGTTCATTGAGTGGATAAGGACATAGACTATTAGTGATAATGTTATCTATTGATTCAAATAAAAACAAACAAAGAAAAACACAAAAATAAAACTTCAACAGTGAAAGACAATATTAATTTTAATAAAACTCAAATAATGTGCTCAAAGTGTAATGTATACTATTTAAAATAAACAATTAGTGTTATAAGTGACAAAGTGAAAAAAAAGTTATACAAACCAACAAAAACGAAAAAAAAAAACAGCGGTCATCATTAAACAAAAAGAATGGACTTTGAACTACAGAACAATTTTAAATCTGTTTAACGAACTTTTATTTGTTATAAACGAACAACCTATACCGCAATTTCACATGTATTAGTAAAAGAACGGGTAGCGCGATGCATTACGTGTTGACCACATAATTGACGAAGTGTGAGTTCGGATCCCACAAAATATCAATTACATTTTTTGTGATTTCTTCGTTTTTATAAATTTAAGAGGACGTCAAAAATAATTAGTTCGCTTGCAAAGTGCTATACTCGTATAAACAACAACAAAATTAATTACAATTATTATACAAAACAGAACAGACTCAAAGAAACATGGATTTAGAAAACATAACATATCGAAAGCCTTACAGAACTAGTTCACTAAGTGACATGACTAACATCGAAGAATCTCGCCTTTTCGATACGACAATAATGAGTCTACCTGACACCTTACACAACAATAGTCAAACTTTACAAGACTTAAATGAAAAAATTAAATCGTTAACAAACGATCTTCTAAGTGCTAATCAAGAGATTGAGAACCTTAATTCCGAAAATTTTCGTCTGAAAGCTGGCCTTGATAAGTCCTTAAAAATAATAGACTCATACAAAAGAATAATCACATTTGACAGGAAAAGTATGACGCCTACACCAAGAGGCAAAAGAAACTATTCACAAAATAAGATCTTTGAAAGTCCAGCACAAATAACAAACCCAGGAACAGATGGTCAAAGTATAAATAATTCCCCAATTCCCATAACAAATCGACCTTTAGATGAATTAGAACAAAATGCAATAAATAATGACAACTTTAATATTATGACAATACCGTCTGAAAAACCCATGAACTTGCCTGCCTGTTGTACTACATTTTCAAATAAAATATTGCAAAAAGATATTCAACAAAAAAACAGAAATAAACTGTGATACTCCTCTTCTGTATGCAAGTAAAGAGCAAATAAATTCCCATGAAAAGGGTAATAAAGTAGGGAAAAGAAAAATTGTTATTGTAGCGGATGAACAAGGTTATAAAATAAGAGAAACACTGCAGAATTTTGTTGGTTATGAGTTTATAGTAACTTGTTACTCGAAGTATGGAGCCCCTTTAAAAGAGGTGTTAGCGCCTGCAGAATCTGAGTTAAGCAAATTGAACAGCAATGATTTTGTAATAATACTTGGAGGAATTAATGATAAAAATCCTCGTGAACTATTGTTTTTCCTTAGACAATTTTTGAACAATGCGAGCAAACCCAATATTTTAGTATCAGAAGTAGTAGATTAATGAAAGAAAATTAAATTATGAAATTAAATTTATATGCTCTGAATTTAAGTATGTTAATTTTATTGAAATGAATTATTCTGTCATGATACCTAGGCGCAAATATTTTCCTCTATATACAAGCCAGTTACTTCTACGAGAAATATTACGTGTGGATTATAAATTAAAATATGAGATATACTGTAAAAGCTTAAAAGACATACCGGAACATAAGCAGACCTTTACTAAAAATAGTACCCAAACTGACAGTAATAACTTTTCTGACAGTAGCACCCAAACTGACATGGCAATTGAAACACCTTCTCAAATTAATTCTACCAACTTTTTTCTTGTATAACCAAATAAGTATACTTCATCAAAATATTAACGGCCTCATAAACAAGTGTGACTTATTAACTACATCTTTAGAATCTATAGAAAGTGTAAAAGATGTTAAAGTTTTATGCATTACCGAACACAATATGTCTAGTATTGATTTATATATCTTAAACATTCCAAATTATTCATTGGGTTCAGTGTTTAGTCGTAGAAATCGTCGCGGTGGATCTTGTATTCTGGTACATAACTCACAAAAGTTTATACCAATCATTAACATAAAAAAATATTCGATTGAAGGTATAATCGAATGTTCAGGAATACAATTACCTGAACATAAACTATATGTATTCTGCATTTACAGACCCCCCAGGGTAAGTTCTGAAGATATCAATAAGTTTTTCGCAACATTTACTTCTTTATTAAATCAGTTTTGCCTTGGAAAAAATAAAGTAATACTCTGTGGCGATTTTAATATTAATACTCTGAAAAAAAGTAAGGAAACTATTGAGTTAAGTGAAATTCTATCTGCGTATAACCTGAAAATAGGAATAGAAGAGCCCACTAGATTGGTAAGTGGCACATGTATTGACAATTTCATGTATAATGTTCGTGACTGTAAAACAAGAGTTTTGGAACTTGCGTTATCTGATCACACTGCACAAGTACTTACATGTCCAGTAAAAGTAAGTTTTCTGATCAAACATTGGTACATTAAAACGCGGGACTACTGTAAAGAGAATTTAGATAAATTTAAAGAATGCATTAACGCTCTAAGTTTCAATGATGTGTTTAGGAGTAATGATCCAAATACTTCGTATAACATTTTTTATGATTTTTTCCGTCTTTTCTATAACTTATGTTTTCCTGTAAAATATATTAAAAAAGACACAAAAGTGAAGCCGAAATGGATAACGAAAGGTATAAAAAAGTGCTGTAAACGTAAAAACGTCAGCTTCTTTGGCAATATAGGAAAAACCGAACAGAAAATAATAAAAGAAGTTTTATAGACCTTTCATCAAGACTGAGTCGTGTTATCAAATTCACACAAAAGGTTAAAAACGACAATTTCATAAATAATGCTCGTAACAAATGCAAAGCTACTTGGACTATAATTAATAATAGGACAATTAATTTACCAAATCAGGAAATACAACAAATTACTATCAATAACACTACAATTAAGGATCCCATAAGCATAGCGAATAAATTTAATGAATATTATATTAACCAAATCACCAAATTGGTCCCGCATAGAACACCAATTAATATTTCAAGTGAATCTAAATCTTTATTTATGAAACCCGCAACACCGAATGAAATAAATAAAATTATTTTAAATTTAAAACCTACGAATAGTACGGGTTATGATGATATTTCAACCAAAGTATTAAAATATGTTTCTATCAAATTATCACATGTACTGAGTCATATTATCAATCAATGCATTTATCATGGCCTTTTTCCTGACAAATTAAAGTTAACCATAATCAAACCTATTTTTAAGAAAAACGACAGAAATGACATGAGCTGTTATAGACCGATAGCATTAATACCGGTTCTATCTAAAGTTTTTGAAAAAGTGATTCATGAAAGATTAAATAATTATTTCGAAACAAATAATTTATTTTCAAAAGAGCAGGTAGGTTTCAGAAAGAACAAAACTATAAATATGGCAGTTTTCTCATTTTTAAAGAGTGTTATGGTAAACATGGATAATAAAAATCATGCCTGCGCCCTTTATATGGACCTAACAAAGGCATTTGACTATGTTGACCACAATATATTGCTAGATAAGCTATTTGCCTATGGAGTTAGGGGAAATACGCATGATCTTATTAGGAGCTATCTTGGTAACAGAATACAGTCTACACACATAACGAGATTGTGTCCTCACAAAAAAATTATATGTGACTATGAATCAGAGTACAAAATCAATAACTTTGGTGTGCCACAAGGCAGTGTATTGGGTCCATTATTATTTATTATATACATAAATGATCTCCCGAAAGTAACAAGCAATGACACTATTTTATTTGCTGACGACAGTGCAATTATATTTACAGGAAAAGAAAAAACACAAATAGAATTGGACATAAACAATACCTTAGATAATATTATTAAATGGTTGACTTTAAATAATTTAAAAATAAATTTGGAAAAAACTAAATTAATGACGTTTCGAAACAGAGTTCACAAATTAACGGACATGAAAATCTACTATACACAAACAAAAATTGAAGAAGTAGAGACAATAAAATTCTTGGGACTAAACATTGATTCTCAACTAAACTGGAAGTCACATACAGAGATGTTGTGTTCGAAACTTAATCAATACTCATATGCGATCTACATGTTGTCCAAAACTGCCAGTACATCCACAGTTTTAACGGCTTACCATGGACATGTTACTCCTCTTTTAATGTATGGTGTTATGTTTTGGGGCAACTCTGTGGGAAAAGAGTTGGTCTTTAGGGCGCAAAAGAGATGCGTTCGGGCTATATACAGAATGAAACAAACCGAGAGCTGTAGGTCGATATGTTCAAAGATTAAAATATTGACACTACCGTGTATTTATATACTGGATATGGTGCTGTTTGTAAGAAATAATAGTAACTTATTTGTTAAATTAAAAAGCAAGAGACACCCTTTCCAAATAAGCTTCATGTATAACAAAACTAAACTTTTAAACAGCAGTGTATTTTGTATGATTCCGAGAGTGTATAATCATTTACCCAACTCTCTGCTTGAAATTTCAAATAATAATTTATTTAAAAAAAAGTGAAGACACTACTTTTAGAAAAATCATATTATTCGGTAAGGGAATTTCTTGAAGACAAATTAATAGATGCAGTATTGTAACCGGCTTAGTGGTACTGTGACATTAATTAGACATTTTATGTGACATTATTGTACAAAGTTGACATTGTGTATTAATTAGGTAATCTCATTTGACATTATTTTAATAATTATTTAGACACTGTGATTTGATATGTAATAATTTTAATTTAATCTATAGCATATAATTAAGAATTTTTGCATGGCATGAGCCTAAATATCGCGATCAACAATGTAAATTGACCACTGTAACACCATCTGTACCCATATTGCGCAAATAAAGAATAAAAAAAAATTAAAAAGCAAGTTAAATAGAAGGTTTAATTTGGCGGCCTTATTAGTAACCTCTTCAAAGCAACCAATCTTCTAAGATTTGTAAATGATATAACTGTGGTGCACTCTTAGTAGTGATAACATGTACTACTAAGACGTCGTTCTTTACTGTTGGCCGTATGGATATGCCGAAAGCCGCAGAGCAAGCTATGGAGAAAGCTGTACTCGGAGTTTCTCCGAATGATAAAATCCATAACGATGATACCCGCAGAAAAACCATATAAACTGGCTATACGGTTCAAAAAATCCTCGACTGAAGGGGAAGAACGATTTTCGAGTGGTAATCTCGTACCGGTAAGCGGAATGTTCACCGCCCACGAACTGTCCTTAAAAGTGTATGTTCGGTAGTAAACTTTTGAAGGGCTTAATGATAACAATATGAATGAAAACTGCATAAAATGATTTGAAAGTGATTTAAAATGTATACAGTCCATTCATAAAAATTTGGCTACTCTGTCAAATACAGCTCTTTAACTGAGAGAGGGTGTGTGTTACACTATCAAAATCAATCTCAGCTTGTTATTCTTTGTAGTTTTAAATCTAAAGTGAACATAGTGCCCACCAGCATGCTTTAAGGCTATCAACTCAGCTTCTTTTCTTTCAATTATTTTTAAATATCTGGCTCTATGACACCTTGCTGTTATCAATGAGTGCAGAAAATAAAAGAAAATACAATCAAGTGAGATTTTTTTATATTTATTTTTCTATAAACTCAATAATACCATACAAAATTTTTAAAATGTTATAAAATTATTTTTAAAAGCAATTATGTAATGATTGTAAACATATTTATTTTGTATATTTAATCATTCGTTTGACCGTCGTTATAAATAATGACTTTGACACTAGTTACTTGTGAAGGTTAAAAATCATCACGTACATTAAATGCTTTGTCGCTATTGTCAAAAGCAATTTTAACTTCTAAATTCATACAACAAAAGTATAACATGGACATACCAACGTTACAGTCAAGCCTCTCATTGATACACTTTACAATAATGTACCGTGGAACTTATGGCAAGACTGGTCATAACGCACGAACAGCTCAAACCTGGCTAAAAAAATGTTCCTGCCTTTATAAGAGATGAAAGCTGGCCCTTGCCCAGCCCAGATCTACAACTGAGTACTAAAGATATGACCGCTTAAAACGCTACTTCAGAGT